AAAAAAAAAAAAAAAAAGTGCTAAACCCCCTCCCCCCATGCTGAAATGCTGCTGCACAGACAGGGGAGCCTTGCTATGGGGCAGTTCCAAGATGTCTTCAAAAAGACCTGTGGCCCTAAACAACTTAGAGGATGTCACTCCGCCCTGACCTGGGGAGGGTGGCATCCGGTTGCTGGTGTCCATCTCCTGTCAGTCAGGGACAGAGCAACCCCTTGTTCATCCCAGCTTGGCTTCTGGCCTGTGCCCATGCCTTTACACTAACAAAAAAAGCTTAGAAGCCATTGCTGTTCAAGAAGACTTCACACTTTCAGGCCGCGGAAGGAAGAGTTCTAAGGGTTCCTGAGTTTTATGAAGGTAAAGCTTACAGAGTGCACACACCTTGGTGATTTATTCCGAAGGGTGAGCAGTCAAGAAACAACATGGACAGCTCTCTCTGGCTGACTCTTTCCGGAATGTGAGGAGGAGTCTGTGTGTGCCCCCGACCACCACACTTCTAGAAATTCAATCCCTAACTGCCATCCCAGCTACAAGGGAAACTCTCCAGGGCAAATGAGGACTATGGTGTCGGCGCTGGCCCCAACACTCTGCCTTGCAGACCTGCCCTGTAGGGGCTGGCAGCTGCTGGTGGCTGAGGTCTGAGTCAGCTGTTGACTCAGACCCAGGTTCCCAAGTGGGGGTGGGCTCCAGGAGCCCCTTTGTGATGTCAGCATCCTGCCCCCACTCACAGCCCCTCCACCAACTACCTCGCCTCCCAGTCCAGAGAGACAGGCAACGTGGACCATGGGTTCCCGCTGTGCCAAGCTCAGCACAGGCCACAGCCCGGGCCATAGCACTGGCCACAGCATGGGCCACAGCACGAGCCATGGCCGTGGCCACGAATCCTCCATGAAGAAGCTCGTGGTCTGCGTGAGTCAGGATAACTTCTCCCTGTCATCAGAGGGCGAGGAAGACGAGGAGGAGAAAGAGGAAGAAGATGAGGAGGAAGAGGAGCTGCTGGTCCAGGGCAAGCTGCTACTGATGGAGTCGGAGCGGCAGGAAGAGGATGAGGACAGTGCCAAGGCCAAGCAGAGCCCCGAGCCCAAGCAGACGCACTCCTGACCCGTGACCACAGCGAGGAAGGGGTGCCCACCACTGCTCCCACCAAAGTATTCAGAGAGGAGTCAGTAAAAAGTCTCTGAGGAATCCTCCCTGTCTCTGGTGTCCCCTCACCCCCTCCCTCCTGGTACCGCATGTGCACACGTGTGTGAATGTGTGAGCGTGTGGGTGTGGGCATGTGTGGGTGCACGTGGAGGAACGCTGAAGAGCAGGGCTCGGTGACCTTGTTCCCAAGCCCCAACCAGAGGTTCAGGGTCTTTGGGAGGGGGAATCATCTCAGCCAAATCTTTCCGTCTTTAGGACAGGATAACTGTCTTCATCCCACTGTACCCCCCAACCACGGATAGACTTTTAAGAACATTGGCTTGGGAGTTCAGCAGACCTGGGTTCAAACTTCTTTTCTGCCAGCTGTGTGCCCTTGGGCAAGTCACTGCGTGTCTTTGGACCTCAGCCTGCCCCTCCCAGGATTTGAGGGAAGCTAATCGCTACTCATGGCTCAGCTGATCGGGAGAATTAGCTCAAGTACTGGGCGGGACCAGGCCTGGCACCACCAGTGCCGAGCTAGAACAGGGATTGTTGCTGGGGTCATAGTCTGCCTCGGACTCTTCCACTGCCAGTCTATGCTGCCGGCGACCATCTGCACCCCCACCTGGAAGCTCACTCCTGCCTTCTTCAAGGGGTCTAGCCCTGGGGGCAGAGACAGTGCCCCATGAGAGCAGCAGGCAAAGGAGGTCCAGGGAGGTGACTGAGTGCAGACACAGAACCCAGGCCCCGTCCTCTGGCTCTGGGCTCAGTGCGCCTTCTGTGAGAAGCTTCAGAACATGTCTTCTGCCCACCCCGGCCCTGGCTCCTCCCTCATCCCTTCCATCCAAAAGAAGTGACAAATGTGATCACCACCCCATTCCCTCACAGTCCTCCAGGCCCCAGCCACCTGTTCCCAAGGGGATCCTAGTTGGTGCTGTGGCAGTGGGGCGGGAGGGGATGGGAAATTTTCAGGGAAGCCTCAGTTTCTCTGGGGGCTGTGTGTGAGGGTAGCAAGGGGCCTTGGGCTACCCCGAGGTGAGGCCACTGCTCTCCCTTGCAATGGCTGAGGGTAGGCTGGAGGGAAGGGGAGGCCTCGCTACTCCACCACTCCCAGCCCTACAAATGACTCGTTTGGCCAGCTTTGTTCTTTTGTCCAAGGCCCAAGGTCCACCCGCCCATTCATTTGCCTAGGAAACGTGAGCTGAGCCCCTGTCTTACGCACGGCATGGTGCTAGTCACCAGGGGCACTGGTACTAATGAAACACAGTCCCTGCCATCCTGGAAGAGAGTTCACAGTCATGGGGGCGGGGGCAGGTATGTGATGTGCTGCACACCTGCTGCTGGGAGAGGTTGGCCCTCCCTGGGAGGGCTGGAAAGGTGTGTGGAGGAGAGGCCAGCTGATGGCAGGCCGAGATCTCCATGCCCTGCTCGAAGGAGGGGAAGTGGGGCGTCGGCAGTGGAGGAGCAGGAGGTCATGAGAAGAGGGGTCCAGAGACCCGCACAGCCCACTACTGGACCTGCTGAGCCCACCCACAGCAAGGCCCTGAGAACCCTGCTGTAGGTGCCTCTCTAATCTCTAAGAACCCGTTAGTGACCTCCAGAGGCAACCAAACCTGAATATGACTGGTCTGCCCCTGAGCAGCTGGGGGACTCTGGGCTGGCTCCTCCACCTCTCTGAGCCTGTTTCCTCTTTGCTAAATGTAATCATTGTAGCTGCCTCATGGGGTATGTTAGTTTCCCGTGGCTGCCATACAAAATTACCACAACGTTGGTGGCTAAAAACAATAGGAATGTGTTCTCTGCAGTTCTGAAGGCCAGAAGTCTGAAGTCCAGGGAGCAGCTGGGTTGACCGCCAGAAGTCTGAAGTCCAGGCAGCAGCTGGGTTGACCTCCTTCCAGGGGCCTTAGTAAAGAATCCTTCCTTGCCTTCTCTAGTTCATAGAACTCCAAGCTTTTCAGCCGGGTGAGGAGGCTCACGCCTACAATCTCAGCACTTTGGGAGACCAAGGTGGGCAACTCACGAGGTCAAGAGTTCAAGACCAGCCTGGCCAACATGGTGAAACCCCATCTCTACTAAAAATACAAAAATTAGCTGGACATGGTGGCGTGCACCTGTAATCCCAGCTACTCGGGAAGCTGAGGCAGCAGAATTGCTTGAACCTGGGAGGCAGAGGTTGCAGGGAGCAGAGATTGTGTCACTACACTCTAGCCTGGGCAACAGAGTGAGACTTTGTTCCAAAAAAAAAAAAAAAAAAAAAAAAAACGAAAATAAAAAAAAAAAAAAAAAAAAAAAAAAAAAAAGAGAACTCCAAGCTCGTCCTGAGTGACAACTCTCCTGTCCCTCATAAGGCCATTTGGATTTGGATTTAGGGCCCACCGTCTAAGCCAACATGCTCATCTCCAGATTCTCAGATTAAATACATCTGCAAAGACCCCCTTTTCCAAATAATATCACATTGACAGGTTCTAGGAGTTACAACGTGGACATAGATTTTTGGGGGCCGCCATTCAGTCCACTACAAAGAGTCACTTTAAGGCTTGAGGGCAAAGCTGCCTGGGGAAGGTGAGGCCCAGAGCCCAGCCACGTAGAAAGCATTCAATACATGAAAGCGGTTATCACTGTGAGAAATTTCACGTTTATTAAGAAATAAACTGCAAAGGCTGGGCATGGTGGCTCATACCTGTAGTCCCAGCACTTTGGGAGGCCAAATCAGGAGGGTATCTTGAGCTCATGAGTTCAAGACCCACCTGGGCAACAAAGTGAGACCCTGTCTCTACAAAAAAAAAAATTCAAAAAAATTAGACAAGTGTGGTGGCATGCATCTATAGTCATAGCTACTCAGGAGGCTGAGGTGGGAGGATCGTTTGAATTTAGGAGGCTGCAGGGAGCTGTAATCATGCCACTGCACTCTAGCCTGGGCAACACAGCAAGACCCTGTCTTGAAAAAAAGAAAAAGAAAAAAAAACTATATAAAAGCAGATGATTGCAAATCCTCATAGCAAGAGGCAAAGCTGCACATGGGCAAAGTGAGAAGCTGCCTTGGGCTGGGGCCTGCTGGAGGAGGGGAGACAGAGACAGAGGGTGCTCCATGCAGGGACCAGTGGGGAAGTACAGGCCTAGGGCCAAGTGCAAAGGCATCGGCCAAGGCGGGGAGGGGTGGGGGGCTCTGAATGGACACCCAGAGAGTAGAAGATCAAATGGCCTGGTGTTCAAACATAAGTCTGGGCTTTCTTCTCCAGTTGCTGGGGTGTCTGAGCAGGGAAGGCATGATTCAGACTGAACAGCAAGTCCTCGTTAGCAGGGAGCGGAGGAGAATCAAGAGGCAGAAACTGAAGGAGAAAGTCGGGTTTCCAAGGGCCTCCTATAGTTTGACAGGCATCTCAGGCGCACAAGAATGCAAGGAAGGAAGGAAAGACACCTCTTTGTCACATAAGGCAACTAAGCCTCAGAAACCACAATGGCCTACCCAAGGTTGGACATCAGTGCAAACTGGGATTTGAACCTGGCTCAGAATCTCCCGACATTCCATCTGGCTGGGGGGGTGGGCTTGCAGGAAGGGCCCCAGAACCACCCCTTAGTCCATGTGGTTACTCATCTTTCACCCATCCACCAAGTCGTCTGATCAATTCATCACCTCCCCATCATCCGGACACTAATCTATCTTACCAACTGCCCACCATTCAGCTGCCATCACTAGGGTCAGGGCTGCACCCCTGGCGCCCGAGCTGCCGAGGGGGTTAGGAAAAAGACCTGATGATGCTGGTCAGTGATGTTTACTGAGCTCTTATTGCGGACTGGGCCTGGGCTAACTGCTTGACATAAATTCTCTCCTTTATTAGTAATTCTTCTAATGTCCGTATGAGGCGAGTACAATTATTGTCTCTATTCTGCAGGGATGGGGAAACTGAGGCTTGTTCAGGCGAATCCCCAGGACTGGCCATGCGGAAAAAGCAGATCTGGAATGCAGACAAAGCTCCATCTGACCCAAGGGCTCCTACCCTGAACCAGCAGCTGGGACTACCCCAGGGTACCCCTAAGCACTGCCCCACCCTGGGGCTTTGTCTTGGCTGGGCCACATCTGTCACACCCCTGTGGCCTGTGCCATCATAATCAGCCCCAACTATATAACCAGGGGCTGCCAGGGCCTCTGTAAATCTAGGCCTGCTGGGAGAGGAGGAAGAGGAGGCCCTGCCCCTCCAATCGTGGCCTCCTATGGACACCAAGACTCACAGCCTTCCCATCACCCACACCCAGCCCCATAGCAACTCTCGGCCCCAAAGCCCCACCTGCAGGCCGTGCACCTGCAGCCGCCACTGCCAGACCTGCAGCCAGCATTGCAGCCAGAGCCGGAGCTCCAGCCGCAGCCCGACCACCCACCACAGCCCACCCGGCGCCCAGAGCTCATCCGGCCGCCAGAGCCAGAGTCCCAGCCCCAGCCCACCACCAAAGCACCACAAAAAGACCATGAACTCCCACCACTCTCCCACGCGGCCCACCATCCTTTACAGCAGCTGCCCCAAGAGAAGAAAGAACTTGGAAGTCAAGATGAACAAGAGAAAAATGGCCAAGAGGATCCGGCAGGTGTACAAAACCAAGAAGCGGAGCTCAGGTACGCTTTAAGGAGGTGGGGAAGGGTCACAGAGCCCACAGATGACAGGGAGCAGACCCTGGGGGCAGTGAGGGGAAGGGTGCAGCCAGGTCACAGAGGAACCACAGGCAAGGATGAAGACGGAGAAGAGAAACAATGGCAGTTGGTCAGCTGAATGTATCAACACTGACAGACTTTGAATAAACTGGATGGGTTGATTGGAAGAATGGAAGGTTGGACAGTCAGCAGATTAGCTAGATGGAAGCATGAATGGGGTTGAGAGGTTGGGTGGATGAGTGGGTGGGTAAATAATAAATAATAGAAAGGATAGTTGGAAGAATGCATTGGGTGAATGGCAGGAAGGTTGGATGTGATTAGCTGGATGGGTGAATAAACGGATTAATGCACTGGCTGGCTAGTCATTGCTTTGTTAGGTAGATGATTAACTGGAAGAATATGGTTGGTAGATGAAACAGTTGAATACAGAGTTAGTTTTGATGGGTTGGTTTGATTGGTTAAATAATGGTTGGCTAGGTAGGTGGACGATAGCTCAGATTTCCAGATAGATGGAGGGATGATGAATTGATACGTTTATTTGAATGAAGTAATTGAATGAATTGCTAGATGGAAGAATAGATGTCTAGACTAATGGGACAGAATGGGAAAGAAATGTTGAAATATGAATAGAATGGGTGAACTAACGAATTGATGGATGACAAATAGAAGGGATAAATGGATGGATGGACAGATTCACATAGGTCAAAAGGACACTGACGTAAACTATTTCCGCCCCATATTCAATCACAAATTAGTTGTAAGACGTAAAGGTCAGTGATTTCATGAAGTGCTCAGCTATTAAAGGTTCCTTTCTCACTATTAATCCCTTAGGACAGAAATCCAACGAATGAGACTGCACTCCTTGGCTTGTTCCTGCGTGTTTCACCCAAATGAGAAACGCTATCATGCATAGAAGGCTAGGATGAAGTCCATCTTCTTGCAGGAACATGTTACTATGGTGATTTCTATGCAACACTAATTAAAGCGTGTACCCTGCAAGACTATCCGGAGTAGTCATTTTGATTTCACTAATAAAGGCGTTACATGTTTTGGGGGACTGCAAAGGGACAGAAATAAATGGGGATGGGATGTCAAGAAGCCTGCAGAGTGGATGGGCAACACTGCCTGAATAACACAGTCCACATCTATTCATGTGATCCACAGAACATGACAGGAGACAGGAAGAGGGGTTCAGAATGTGCATTCTGCAGTCCAGAGCATCCTGAGTTTGAAGGCTGGCTCATCTTTCGTACTTGCTGTGTGACCTTGGACTGTGATCCATCTCTGGACCTCCCTTGTTGATTCTGTAAAATAGTACCAACCTCAACGTTCCTCAAAGCTGCCATTTCAACACTTTTACTAAAGGACCAAAGTCCATTCAGGGGCTGTGCTGGGCTCTGGGAACAGAACTAGAGAACACACAAGGTCCTGCCCTCATGGAGCTTACAGTCCGAACACACAAGACTTGTCAGGATGAGCTGTGTCAAGGAAGCAGATGTCATGTCCCAGTGAGAGAATGAGCCTGGGTTAGAAATTGTGTTCCAGAGGAGCTGGCGTAGGATTTGCAGGTGCTGAGACACGAGCTGGGGGCACCAGGCAGGGGCCAGACCATGCTGGGGTTGGACCAAGTTCAACAGGAAGGAGCCTGGACATTATTCTTGGTGTGAGAAGTCAGGGGAGGCTCTCAACAGTGAGTTGATAGAGTCTGGTGTGTGCTTTTGAGACCAAGTTATGGTACAATCATGGCTCACTGTAGCTTTGATCTCCCAGGCTCAAGCCATCCTCCCGTCTCAGGTTCCCAAGTAACATGACATGCGCCACAATGCCTAACTTTTTTTTTTTTTTTTTGAGACAGTCTCTGTCGCCCAGGCTGGATGGTGGTGATGCAATCTTGGCTCATTGCAACCTCTGCCTCCCCGGTTCAAGCAATACTCCTGCCTCAGCCTTCCAAGTAGCTGGGATTACAGGTACCCGCTACAATGCCTAGCTAATTTTTGTATTTTTTTTCCTCACTGTGCAGGTATTCTGTCACTGCTTTTTAAAATTTTTATTTAAGTTCTGGGATACATGTGCAGAACACGCAGGTTTATTACATAGGTATACATGTGCCATGGTGGTTTGCTGCAAAAACCCATCATCCAGGTTTTTAGCCCCGCATGCATTAGGTATTTGTCCAAATGCTGTCCCTCCCCTTTGCCCCAACCCCCTAATTTTTGTATTTTTTTTTTCTAGTAGAGATGAGCTTTCACCATGTTGATCAGGCTGGTCTCAAACTCCTGACCTCAAGTGATCCACCCACCTTGGCCTCCCAAAGTGTTGGGATTACAGGTGTAAACCACTGTGCCAAGCCTGGTGTGTGTTTTCAAAATGGCACTGGCTGCTGTGTGGAGACTGCACTGCAGGGGATGGGACAGGTACAGCAATTGGCAGAATGGCAGCCTGGTCTAGCAGAGAGATTTCCCAGGACAACGGGAAAACCTTCCTCATTCCTCTTCCATAAACATTTACTGAGCACCCGCTTGCATGGGCTTTGTGAGAAGGCCCAGGAAGGGAGATAAGGGTGAACCGGACAGAACCCTGCTTCCAAGTAGACATGGAGACAGCTATGGACATGAATCTTAGGAAAACCTGCCCTCATCTGCAAAATGGGCGCCCTTGCTGTGCGGCTGGGAGAGGTCCACGTGCCATGTGTCGTGACACAGTGTCTGGGCTCAGTGCTTGGCTCTCAGTGAGCCTCTGCTATTAATATAAAAAGTACCAGGCAGATTTTCATGAAGGAACGCTGGCTGCCAGACCAAAGGACTGGGGAATGGTCAGCATCTTGTGTAAAATGGCTTCTGACCTTCATATCCACCAGCCTTGTTTTCAGGGTCAGACTCGTTTGCCCTGATTCTTGCTCTCCTAGCTGGGGGTGCTAGGACTAAGCCACTCTGAGCCTCACTCACCTCCTCTGTCAAAGGGGGTCATAATTCCGACATGGTGGGGGGCAAAGTACCCAGCAGCCTGATGTGTGGGAAGTTGCCCAGCACAGTGCCAGACACAGGGTCACTTTGTTTCCTTTTGTGTGGCATTTAGCATTTGGGCTGAAGGAACGGGTGAACCCGTGCAGGGAGGTGGGGCAGGAGTAGAAATGAGTGGTGGTGGGGTGTATGCAGTGGAGGGAAACAGACCCAGATGTCTGGGGAAGGCCTTGCAGGACCCCGAGCTTTGCTGAGCCCGTCCTAGGCAGTGGCGTACCATGGAAGTTCCTCTTTCAGATCTCAGCTGTGTGGCCTTGAGCAACTCAGGTCCCCCCTCTGCATCCTGGTCTCTTCTGTAAAATGGGAGGCTAACAGTGCCTCCTGTCCCTGGGGGGGTTCGCTGAGACAATGCATATGCAAGCATCCAACAGAGGGCCTGGCCCATCCCATCAGTGCCACTCTACACCACTGTCAATCTCCTTTCCTTGGGCTCCTTTATCCTCCCCTCACAGCGGGCAATGTTCCCAGGTTGTTTCTATTGGGAGAGGGTGTGGGGAAGGACCTAAGCAGGCTTGGGAATCACATTTATTGAGCACTGACTAGACGTCAGATATTTTGACATAAACGTTTGCACAGAATCCACACTCTTCAACAAGACATATTATTGCTCTCACTGTACAGATGAAGAAGCTGAGACTCACAGGTGAAATAACTTGGTCAAGGACTCCTGGTAGACAGGTCTGAGATAAGAGATTCATGTCTTGTCCCAAACTTCCAGGTTCCCAACTGAAAATGTAAGGCCACATTAAGCCATGATAGTCACTGACACATCAGTGCAAAAAAATTTAGGAACACATTTTGAAAGAGGAAGTGGAGTCAGGGTTAGATATAAGGTCGGGGACTTTGAGCCCCACTCACCAAAGGACCTCCTGACTTCCTGACCTGTTTCCTTTTATGATATGATGACTAAAGGCAGATCTTTTATTATAAGCCAATGGACTGGGTCATGCGTGTGGCTTATGGTGCTATCCTTAACTCCACATGTCCCTGAAACCAACACTGAGACGAAAAGTGGCAGAATAGCCACATACATGATCACAGCTCATCACAGCCTCAAACTCCTGGCCACATACACAAAAAAACAGCTGTGCAAATCCATTCAACACTGAGACCCACATTCACACATGGACCCCAAATACACACACACCCCCCTACACATGCATGCAGGCTCTCGGTCACCTCCTCCAACCCTTCCCACAGGAAACACACAGGTAAGCAAGCACTCACAGTACATGCCACCCTCACACAGTCAGACGCATGATGATGATAGGCAAAAAATCCAACCACAGATTCATTCTTTCACTTAGGGTGGGTGGCAGTAGGTCGGGGGCAGGCCTGCTGGAGACCCAAATTCAGGAAATGGAAAGAGACAGGCAATAAATTCAGTCAGCAAGAGAGTATGTGGGTTCTGAAGATGATCTATCTTGATACTCAGGGATTTCATTTCAGTGGGCTACTCAGGGTGAGGTGAGGTTTGGAGAACAATGAGGTGTAGCCTGGCCTGCCTGGGGTGACCTGGGGGGCTGTCACTCCCGCAGGCCTGAGGGATCACCAAGGGGAACGAAGCGGTCAGAGGAGAGGGCAGACCCTGGGTGGAGATGCCGACGTGAGCTATGATTTAAGAGGAAAAAGACCTCAAACCCTGTAGCCACACAGACCCAGCTTCAAATCCCAGCTCCCCCATTCCCTTGCTGGGTGACCCCAGGCCCATTCTTTAACCTCTCTGAGTCTCAGGTGCATCTCACACTTTGTAAAGAAGACTGAGGGGGCCATGCTAGTCACTGCTGCACCTCCAGGACTTGGCACAGTGCCTGGCACATATTAGGAGTGTAGTAAACAGCTGTTGAATAAATGAAAGGAGCAGGCATTAAAGCAACAATGAGAAGCCACTAGTTACCAAACCATCAAATAAGCAAATGGAAAAACCATGATAATGGCAAAGAGATGGGGAAACATTCTGGAATATGCTCTCCCTCCCTCCCTCCCCTTAGTGAGATCTCACTCTTTTTTTTTTTTTTTTTTGACACAGGGTCTCCTTCTGTAGCCCAGGCTGGAGGGCAGTGGTGTGATCTCAGTTTACTGCCATCTCTGCCTCCCAGGCTCAAGTGATCCTCCCACTTCAGCCTCCCAAATGGCAGGGACCACCATGCCCAGCTAACTTTTTTTGTATTTTTGTAGAGATGGGGTTTCGCCATGCTGCCCAGGCTGGTCTTGAACTCCTGAGCTCAAGTGACACTCATTCTTTACAACTCAGTTGGGGATCACCTCTCCCTAAGCCTGCTTAGGGCACTGCCAAGTGGGCAGCAGACACTGGGCTTCCCACATTGTGGCATGTGTGGAGACTGCTACAGTTCTGTGTGCCCTGAGACCAGACACCTCCTCAGAGAGAACTGGGCCCACTTCCACCTCTCCTGGTGACACCCGACATTCTCAACAGCATCACTGCAGTGAGGGGCTACGGACATGAGGAACCCTCCTGCTCTAATGTCCCCAGCCTGCTGTGTGCTAACTCTTGTGTGTAGTTTCATAGCTTCTGCAAGTTCTTTCCCCGCTATTGCACTGCGACTGGTCCTTGCTGTCAGCTGTTGAGACCTAATTTGTCACTTACGGTTGGGGTAGGTTGGGTGGAAACTGGTGAGGCTTGTTAGAATACTGTGCAAAAGTGGAAGTCAACAGACTGCGAACAAGAGCCTAAGGGATTTACTGTAGAATGGGCACTGTGCTTCCTGGCTTGGGCTTTGTGACAGTTCTCTGGGCCACTGGATTAAATCAACTTGCCTGAAGCCACACAGCTGATGGGGAGGGGAGCTGGGACTGGAAGCAGGTGTGTCTGGACTGCTTTACCAGCATTCCCAGAATTCTACTTTCCTGCCCCTCCTATTTTACAGCTGTTCACATAAAAATCGTGACTGCTTTCTGAAAACCAGTTACTACTGGCTACTTCAAGTAACGGCTGACTTCTCTCTTTCACCTGAGCCTGCTGGAAGGGTCCCACCAAGTCTCCCAGGACTGGTGCCACTTTGGAGTCCAGCCACTGGCTCAGGCCATAGCTCCCTGGCCTCTCACACCTTCTCCTTGGACTTGGGTGCCCCGAGCTCACACCCCTCTATCCGCCACTGAGAAACACAGCGTTCCTGCAGTGGGAGCAGAAGGGATCTATCACATACACCAAAGCAACCTCTCCCGACAGAGGACTTCAGGCCAGGTTCCATCAAGCCCGAGGGCTCCCTGAAACACCTTCACCAAGTTCCACCAGCTCCCCGAGTTGGGCTCTCCTCATCTGATCAAGTGAAACACATAATTTCCAATTCATAGGACCATGGGAAAGTGTCCCAAGGCCACTACTACTACAGCTCAGCATGGCTAAAGAGCTAGAGGGCTCTTTCCACACCCAGTCCCATGGTGCCTCCTGGGCCTTCACACTGTCCCAGGCACTCAGGGCAAAAGGCCCTGCCAGATGGATCAGACCCCGCCAACACCTATGCCTCACTCCTACACCACCCGCTGGCTCGCAATACCAACTCTCCTTTCCTATCTTCAAGCTCCCGCACCACAGGCCCTCTGCACTGGCTGCTCTCTCCAGCTGGGATCTTCATCCCACTTGTAGAAAGACCTCAGTGCTAATGTCATCACATCCAAGAGGCTTCCCTAACCTACTTATCTCACTCAACAAATAACCAGTCACACCTTTCTCTCTGTTTCTTTCCCACTTAGAACCGTTTATGATCTGCAATGATGGTTGTGAATTCACTGCCTCCCTAGGGCTGCTTGAAGACCTGAGTCTCCTGTGCCTGGCACACAGTAACAACTCAGTAAATAAATACCTGCTCAATAAATACCGAAGAAGTGAAATAGATACGTTATTATCCCATCTTGCAAATGTGAAAACTGAGGCACAGAGAAGCTAAGAAGCTGGCCCCAGGTCACATGCTTATGAAATGACCGATTTAAATTCAGACCAACGGTCAGCAGAATCCACACTGCGAGCCCTACTGCTCGGGACTCCCGGGGCACAGGCTACCATGGGAACCTCGCTGACACACGGGTTAGAGGAAAAGGAGGGCTGAGGAATTTCAGAGTAGAGGGCAGTTTCATGATTACACATACTGTTCAGGAGCTGCTTTTCCCAGCAAAGTGCCACCAAAGCTGGAAAGAGAAACTGAAAATCTGAGGGTCATAAGTCACCAGGATCTTGACTTCCCCCAGATGCTGGCTGGGCCCCCCACATCTGGTGTACGAGGACCCGCCAAAGCAGGGAGGAGAACATTCCCACACATCTGGCTATGGTTTAGCAAGCTGAGGACAGACAGCTGGTCCATCTGCCCTGTGGCAAGAGGTCACTGTGCCAAGCACCAACTCCATGCCTGGCATTTGGCCCTTGGCTCTGTATGTCTGGCTGCTTTGTGAAGTATGAGATGTCCAGAGCTTACTTTGCCGTTGGGGCAGGTGAGGTCCCAAGAGGGCAGGTCGCTTGCCCAAGGTCATGCAGCAAGTCTGGAGTCAGAGCCTGGTCCCACCCTGCCAAGCAGTCTGAGCCGCTCAGGGTTTCATGACGCCTGGCTTCTAGTGAGCCTGGCACCCAGCCCTTCAGGAAGAACGGCCCACAAGGCGGATGCTTGTCAATCAGGAGATTTCTTTTTCTCCTTTGGCATCTGGATTTGGTTTCATTTTGAACACAGGACTTCAGAAAATGAAACCAAAGCTGTCTGTCATTGGTGGCAGTGAGGAGAACCCACGTGTGCTGAGTGTACCCTGAGACGCTTTCCTGCTCCCTTGCTGGGCCTTACCTGGCCTATGGTCCCCAGGCTAGGGCTTCTAACACAGAAACAAGGCAAGGCTTTGGAGGCCAGGGGTGGGGAGGAGGGGGGTTGATTGAGGTCAGGAGTTTGAGACCTGCCTGGGCAGCATAGTGAGACCCCATCTCTACAAAAAATTTTAAAAATTAGCCAGGTGTGGTGGCATGTGCCTGTAGTCTCACCTACTCAGGAGGCTGAGATGGGAGAATCTCTTGAGCCCAGGAGGTCGAGGCTATAGTTAGCTATGATCCTATGACTGCACTCCAGCCTGAGCAACAGAGCAAGACTCCATCTCTATTAAAAAATGGACACAGGGGTTGAAGCCATGTGTTTGTGGGCTCCAACACACTGCCACACCCACAGGGACCCTTGAATGAACAACAGCAAACACCTACTGAGTGCTTAGCATACACTAAGGGCTGTTTTACGTACCTGACCCGTGATCGTCTAATTCCCACACAACCCTGGGAGGCAGGTACTGTTGGCTCTTTTCTTTTTGAGAGAGGGTCTCTGGCAGAAGACTTTTCCATACAGCGGAAAAAAAGTGAGAGAGAGAGACAGAGTCTTACTCTGTTGCCCAGGATGGAGAGCAGTGATTGACCTCCTGGGTTCAAGCCATTCTCCTGCCACCTCGGACTACAGGTGCAAGCCACTATGCCTGGCTGATTTTTGTACTTTTTTTTTTTTGTAGACACCGGATCTTACTCTGTTTCCCAAGCTGGTCTCAAACTTCTGGGCTCAAGCGATCCTCCCGTCTGGGTCTCCCAAGTACTGGGATTATAGACATGAACTACTGCACCCTGCGACAGGTACTATTATCCTCCCCCATTTCACAGATGAAGAAACCATGGTAGAAAGGTTAATTACATGCTCAAGGTCACAAGAATAGAAAGGTGCAGAGTTGGAACTGGGTCTCCTTGTATTTTATCCATCACCCACTGCAGAGTGTGGCCCCTAGCAGATGTCCACTGGACATCTCTCAAATGACCACACACCTGACCCCTGGCGCAGGCAAGGCTCTGCATCTTCTCTCTACCCACTGCACATACACAACCTACACCAATGACCACCACCAGCCCTGGCCACACGCAGATTCAGGGCGCTGACGGGGTGCAGCCAGCCTGGTTCTGAGCCACCCCCTGTGATCAGGAGGAAACATAAGGACCTAGGCTCTGCCTGGGGAAGGAGGCAACAGAGGGCCAGGGAGGCAGGAAGAAGGACCAGGCACCAGGGCTTCCAGGGGAGAAGCCGTCTGGGCTGCCGCCTGAGAGCTGTCTGTAGAGGGCAGTGTGCGCCAGCGTGAGGCCCGTCACCAGGTCCCCAGCCTAGCCAAGCTTTTATGTGGCTCCTCACATACCTTCATTCAAAAATACACGCAGCAGCCAGGCACATAATCCATGGCCTTGCACGGCAGCCGGAATCACTAAATCACAAACACGTGTGCAAATTACAGCACTGACCACCCACTGCTCACCATCCCAAGCCTCGGGCATGTGTGTAGTGGGAAGGCAGTCTTTGAAGGGCAGATGCTTGACGCAGCAACAGGGGGAAATTTACGAGGTAGGTGTTGGGGAGAGAAGGGCTAGGAAAGCAAGATTTGGGAATCATCACTCAGAATGCACCATTTTTCCACTAGGCTCCAACTTTATCTCTCCCAGCTGCTCCTTTCCCCAAAATAAAGACGGGGAGGGTAGAATCCAGGTCCAGAGCTCCCAATCTGCAAGCCAGTGCAAATACCAGCCCCTCCCCGGCCTCAAGTTTCTTCCGCTGTCGAGCAGTGGGAACGCAGGGAGGGCAGTCAAACCACCAGGGACCTTGCCCGGCCCCGCCCAGTTTCCGAGGAACTGGGCCGGGGTGGAGGCGCCCGCGCCGTCAGGGGTTCCTCTGAAGCCTGTGGTCAGACCGCCACTTCCAGGGAAACACGAGCCAAGACCAGAGACCGCTGCCTGCCGGGGCTTCGGAACTGGAGGGCGGGCGACTGTGGGGGTCGAAGGCGTGTGGAGCAGGAGCTAGAAAGGGGTCTAGGGGTGAGGTCGGGCTCAGGGTTGGGGACACCTTGTGGGGGATCCCGGGCGGATCTGGCTGCAAGGGAGAAGAGTACAGGGCTCTGTCCCCAGCGGGTGTGGAGACACCTGGGGCAGAGGAGGGTGTGTCAGGGCGCGTCCCAAGAGGACCTGGGGGCAGAAAGTGGAACCTAAGGTAGCGGGGCAAAAGCCGGGTCGCCAAGTCCGAAGGGGGCGTCCGAGAAGTGACCGGAAGGTACAGGGGCGGAGCCAGAGTCCCTCGAGGGACGGGTGCTGGGACAGGTGCAAACAGGCAGGCAGAGAGCCCCGCGGGAGGGTCCCGAAGAGACGGGGAAGAGGCGCCACAGCAGTCCCGCTGGCGCCACCGCGGAAAAAGAAACCGAAAGTGGAGCTGGGGGCGGGGCCTGCCGGGGGCGGGGCCTCCCGCCTTCGCCCGCCCCGTCTCCGTGCGGGTTTAAAAGACTGGCGCAGGGGCGGGCGCCGAGCAGAACGAGCTGCGGCCGTGGCAGCTGCACGGCTCCAGGCCCCGGAGCATGCGCGAGAGCCGCCCCGGAGCCCCCCGGAGCCCCCCGCCACCCCGCCCGCGGCGCCCCGCGCACCGCCGCCAGGTGAGCCGGTCCCTGGGCGTGGAGGCGTGAGGGAGGAGGGAAGGGAGTCCAGGGCAGCCGGGAGTTCGGCGGGCCTCAGGGGCTGCAGGATGGGGTCGCGGCCGCTACGCCCCTGGCCCCCGGCGGCCCCACCCAGGCCGCCCCCCGCCCGCGGGTCTCCAGCAGCACAGCCTTTCTCCGGCGCTAGCCCAAATCGCCCGGACAGGGCGCCGATCCCGGCCTGGCCAGCAGGCGGCGGGCGCGGAGCGGCGAGCGGGGGCCTGACAGCTGTAGCCGGAGCCGGCTGCTCTCCACGCCCCCCTCTCGGTTGTGCCCCGAGGCCGGACTCCGCCTCCACCAAGCCCCCACCCGCCGGGAAGAGCTCCGCGGAATGCAGAGCCCGTTGTCTAGCTGTGCCCACTGAGGCTGAACATAGCCGCGCGAACTTGGTGCTCCATGCTTGCCCCCTAGGGCCGGGTCCGCCGGGAGCGCCGCCCTCCAGAGTTGCCGCGCGGGCGCTCACCTGCCCGGCCCCGCAGCGCCCCGGCTCACCGCCTTCTCTCCCACGCAGCGCACCCCCGGACGCTATGGCCCACCCCTCCGGCTGGCCCCTCCTGTAGGATGGTAGCACACAACCAGGTGGCAGCCGACAATGCAGTCTCCACAGCAGCAGAGCCTCGACGGCGGCCAGAGCCTTCCTCCTCTTCCTCCTCCTCGTCCGCGGCCCCCGCGCGCCCGCGGCCGTGCCCGGCGGCCCCGGCCCCGGCCCCGGTCCCCGGCGACACGCACTTCCGCACGTTCCGTTCGCACGCCGATTACCGACGCATCACGCGCGCTAGCGCGCTCCTCGACGCCTGCGGCTTCTACTGGGGGCCCCTAAGCGTGCACGGGGCGCACGAGCGGCTGCGCGCGGAGCCCGTGGGCACCTTCCTGGTGCGCGACAGCCGCCAGCGGAACTGCTTTTTCGCCCTCAGCGTGAAGATGGCCTCGGGTCCCACGAGCATCCGCGTGCACTTCCAGGCCGGCCGCTTTCACCTGGACGGCAGCCGGGAGAGCTTCGACTGCCTCTTCGAACTGCTGGAGCACTACGTGGCGGCGCCGCGCCGCATGCTGGGGACCCCGCTGCGCCAGCGCCGCGTACGGCCGCTGCAAGAGCTGTGCCGCCAGCGTATCGTGGCCACCGTGGGCCGCGAGAACCTGGCGCGCATCCCCCTCAACCCCGTTCTCCGCGACTACCTGACCTCCTTCCCCTTTCAGATTTGACCGGCTGCGCTGCGCACGGAGCATTAACTGGGGTGCCCTGTTATTTTCTGTTATTATTTGTCTGGGACCACATGGGTGCCCTCCCCCGCCTGGGTTGAAGGGAGAGGGGGTAGGGGTGAGGCGCCTCCCGCTCTCGGCTGGAGGTGAGGCCGCAGACCCCCTCCTCACCTCTTGAGGGGGTGCTCCCCCTCCTGGTGCTCCCTCTGGGTCCCCCTGGTTGTTGTAGCAGCTTAACTGTATCTGGGGCCAGGACCTGAACTCGCACCTCCTACCTCTTCATGTTTACATATACCCAGTATCTTTGCACAAACCAGGGGTTGGGGGAGGGTCTCTGGCTTTATTTTTCTGCTGTGCAGAATCCTATTTTATATTTTTTACAGCCAGTTTATGTAATAAACTTTATTATGAAAGTTTTTTTTAAAAAAAAAAAAGTTTCTAAAGCGTGTGCTTTGGCCAAAAGTTTAACTTGGATCTGAACAGGTCCAGGGGAGAGAGGTCCCTAAGGCTGACCTCCTGGGCTGTAGGTGGGGTACGGGCCTGCTCTGTGGCTGGGCACCCCTCACAGTTACACCCACAGCTCTCCAGGGAGAGAAACGGTTGGTCTAGTTTTGGCGTGTGTCTGGTAAGGCAGCAGCTCGAATTTGAGCACCTTGTGCGTGCCAGCCCTACTTCTGTGCTTTGCATGCTTATATTTACCTAATCCTACAGAGAGAGAGACACCACCCTGTGAGGCAGGGGGTCTGATCCCCATTCTACAGAAGGGAAACCTGAGTAAATCTCCCATGGCCATTCCTGTGTCAAAGACGACACTTGGGCATTTTTTTTTTTTTTTTTTTTTTTTTTTTGGGCTGCCCACTAAGCATCTGCTTGAAATGGATAACAGAGAGGAAACTTCTTTGGTTCTATGACCACAACAGCTTCCAGGAAGAGGACGGGGGTGGGGGCTTAGTTTTTGGAAGGAGGAGTGGCACATTCGGAACCAGCCTCAAGGGACACATATTTGGGATGGGATGGGGGATAGGGGCTGGGCCTGGCTTCCTTCTCACCCTGTTGTGTCTTGTGTGCTTTTTGGTGAACACACCACTTGGAGCCAGAAAGAGGCTCTGTGGTCTGTGGTGGTGGGAGGGTGCCGCTGGCGGCTAGGGCAATTCCCCTTGCCTCCCTGGGCCTCCCACCTTGCTAAAGGCAACTCTCTGCACATCATGGAGGAGGTTGATGTTTTCAGGAGCCAGGGAACGGAAGGGTGGCTCCAGGACGTTTGTGGGGCTGACCCACAGCACCAGAAAGTGCCCAGGACCTGGTTGTCTGGCATCTTCTGTGTCTTAAGCCAGCCTGACACATGGACCATACTGGCACCTTGAAGGGAATAGTCAACACTTGGTGAATTGAATCATTTTCAGGTTTAGGGTTCAGCAGCCTGGTGGCCATGTCACACTCCATCTTTAGAAGCCAGAATGGCCCTCTGCAGCCTTGGACACCCTTGTAATAGTGCCCTAACGCTTAATAATACCTTTCAGACTCAAAAGCAAAGCATAAAATTCACTTGATGGTCTGAGAACCAGAGCAGCGCAGGCCTGTCTTGGGGATTAAATAGGCTTCAGGCCTTTAAGGATGGCCAGAAGAGATTTAGGATCTCAGAGAGCTTTGGCAATTTCATCCCTCACTGAGGTGAAGTGGGAGGGAGGGAGGCGGTGTCTTGTCTCTACCTCCAAAGAATCTCTGCTTTTTCTTTTCCTTTCTTTTCTTTTTAGCCACGCCCTGCCCTTCCTTCTCTGCTGTGGATTAATTAAGTCCTGTCCTTGTTCTTTACCATCTGTTACCTGCTCTGGGCAGTGTCTGGAGAAACAGAAATCCAAGGCGGCAATGCTTGGGAATTGGGTTGTAATACTAGTGATACCCACAGACCCTCAGTGACTGCTCACTTGCTGTGCTGGCCCCATTTTACAGCTGGGGAAACAGGCTCAGAGAGGCAAAGCAGGACTGCAACAAGGGGTGGAGCCAGATTCTGCAAACTCACTCAGGATTTTTTTAGAGGCTGGGTACCACTAGGTAACCTGAACACCTAACCGTTGCAATAATAACAGCACCAGCTGCTCATATTTCTATATAGCACTCACTGTGCACAGACTGCTCCCAGGTCCCGCATCACCTGTGTAAAGCATTCAACTCACACCCAGCCTTCCGATTTAGGTACTGTGAGCATCCCCGTTTTACAGATGAGAAAACAGGTCCTCCTCTAAAGAGGGGGCATCTAGCAGGTAGCTTGCAATATGTTATGGGTTTTTTTTTCCCCTCCTTTATAAAAAGTATAAAAATTACATTTTCCTTACACAGTGCTGGGTATCCAAACCCATTCCTCTTAGAAAACTTGAAGCAGAACAGCTAAGAATAAAGGCCCCTCTGATCACACTTCCCAGAGCTGGCCCCTTCCTCCCTTTATGAGTCATTTAAAATAAATCTATACTAACGTAGGTACAGTGACCTCAACACCCTGGGAGCTGCACCCCAGGTCCCATGTGACTCAAAGTGTGTGCAGGCGCCACTGCAGGGAGAAAAGGCTGTGTGTGTGTGTGTGTGTGTGTGTGTGTGTGTGTTTGTGCCCAGGCGCGTGCAAGCGCCATGTGGCTTCCCAGGTGATGCAGACTCCCCCCCACCAAACCTCAGCTTCATGATTCAGCAGCGCTGACGTCAATTTACAAGAATGAAAAGTGAGAGGAGGGTTTGTATGTAAAGGACTGACTTGGGGGCCCAGGTGCAGTGAAGGTGAGTGGATGAGCCAGGGCAGCATGAGGCAGGCATCACGAGAAAAGAAGTGCTCTCTGGAATGACAAGGACTGTGTGTGGGTGCAGGGATAGCCTGTGACCAGTCTCCAAGCCACCCCTGCACACTCTGGCCCCCGTGTTACAGATGAGGAAATGGAGGCTCAGACAAGTGCAGCCACCTACTCAAGGTCATACAGCTCAAAAGTGATGGCCAGGACTTGGACCAAGTCCATCCCACTGTAAACAAGACAGGTTTCTTCTTCTTCTTCTTTTTTTTTTTTTGAGAGAGAATCTGGCTCTGTTGCCTAGGCTGGAGTGCAGTGGCAAGATCACAGGTCACTGCAGAACCAAACTCCTGGGTTTAAGCAATCCTCCCGCCTCAGCCCAGGGACTGAGTAGCTGGGACTACAGAGGTGGGCCACCACAACCATCTAGTTTCCTTGCTTTTGGTAGAGACAGGGTCTCACTATGTTGCCCAGGCTGGTCTCAGGTGATCCTCCTGTTTCAGCCTCCCAGAGTGTTGGGATCACAGGCATGAATCACTGCTCAGCCCAGGATGGGTTTCTTATGTAGTGGGAGAGGGGATGGGATTAGGGAGGAATCTGGTGAAAATTCATATTCCTAGGCCTCACCTCTACCTGCTTGATCCTCCCAACCTTAAGAGCAGGTACTGTCATTATCCCAGGAAGTGGCGAGCTGAGCCTCTTTCTAGGTAGAAAGTGCTTACACAAGCACGTGGCAGGTGCCAAATACATCTCTGAATGACGAGGTGCCAATAATGATGGCTGAAGTTCATACAGCAAACACTGACTGAGCACCTCCTGTGTTCCAGCCATTATCTATTTCTCCTCCTTCTCCTTTTTTTAAGAGATGAGGTCTCCGTTACACAGGCTGGAGTGCAGTGGTGTGATCACAGCTCACTGCAGCCTTCACTTCATGGGCTCAAGTGATCCTCCCATCTCAGCCTCTTGAGTAGCTGGGACTACAGGCATGCACCACCATGCCTGGCTAATCTATTTTTGCCAAGATGGGGTCTGCCTATGTTGCCTAGGCCAGTCTCGTACTCCTGGGCTCAAGTAATCCTCCCACCTTAGCCTCCCAAGATGCTAGGATTATAGGTGGGAGCCACTGCACCCAGCCAGGCATTATTCTAAGCCCAAAGGATACAGGAATGAATAAAACAGGGGGTCTGGTCCCTGCTCACTGAGTTTACATTCAGGGCCTTGGACAGTAAATAACTAAACATGAAATAAAGGAAAAGGAGCATTCCAAGTACATGGTGACAGTGGTCAGATAAAAACTCCACAGGGTGATTGGACAGTGGATGGGGCTCTTTTAGAGAGAAAGGTCAGGAGGCTTCTCTGAGGTGACACTGAAATTATTATTGTGCCTGGAATGACAGGAAGGTGCCAGCCAGGTAAAGCCAGGAGATGAGATGAGCCGTCCAGGCAGAGGGAAGGGCGAGTGCAAAGGAGCTCAGTAGGAAGGAGTTTAACAAACCATTCAAGAAGGCCAGCAAAGTGAAAAGGTGGGAGGGATGGGCAGGGGTCAGGGCTCCTGGTGCCCTGTAGACTTTGGTGGAAAGTGTGAATTTCCAGATTGACGGGGAACGTGGAGGTGACCTGCTCTGACCTGGCTGCTGGGTGCAGATGGTCTGAGCAGGGGGCCTGGGGAGACGGGCTTGGACTCCCTGCCTCCTGTATATCCACAAGGGAGCATTCACTCTTGGCCAGTCCCCTTGGCTTTAGCCAATCAGACCAACGACAAGAGGAGGCCACAAGAACCTGCCTGGGGGATGCCGGGCTGAGGTGGGTGTGGCCAGTTCCACCTGGATGCCAGCTTTGTACCTCTCACCTGGCCTCCCACTGCCATCACCCAGAACCTCCCTGGGGCTGGGAGCTTACCAGGAAGAACACAGTAGGCTTGGCCTGCTTTTGGGGGCAGGGGGTATCTAGTGTCCCTCAGAGAGGGAGGCGCAGTTTTCACCAAAGCAAATTCACACAGGGACAATGGTGCCCAGGTGGGCCCTCAAATTGCTCCTCCCAACTGTGGTCCTGGCTCTGGGACCCGACAGATGGCCCTCAGGGGAAACAGGTTCAAAGCTCTACGGGCCCAGTACACCCTCCTCCACCCCGTTCTCCACCCCCTGTCCCCCGACACCCAGGGCAGGTCCGGCATCCCACGCGGCAGCCCTACCTGGGTCCCCGCGGCAGCGCTCAGAAGGCCCACGTTCCGCGAAAACGGCCCAGGGGTCTGGGCAAGGCACTCACCGTGCTCCCTCCTGCCTCGGGGCCTTTGCCCGTGCTGCTCCCTGGTCCCGCTGCGGCAGTGCTGTCTGCCAGCCGGGGTCTGGGTGGAGGCAGACAAATGAGGCCCAACCAGCTATAGTCGAGCTGAGGCCCCACGGCGCCCACACTCTCAACCACCACGTGCTACGCCAGTGACGTCACTGCGCCGTTCTCCCCACCAACCGCTGCCCCCAACCCACTCGGCATGGCTCGGCCACGTTCGGCTTGACTTCTTTCGGCTCGGCCACACTCGGCTCCTCTCGGCTTCTCCGAAGCACTGCCGGACGCGCCGCCCTTCCAGCTTTCACGTGGTTCCCAGTCCTCGTGGTGCATCTTGTCCGCAGGGACCTCAGGGCTCTTGGAAGACC